CGTCTGCCGAGAGACAGACCCCCCTGCAGAAGAAGCTCCCTGCTCTGCTTGAAGGTGAGGTCTCTGGAAACGAGGGGTATTCAGCAGATTAAGTCTTCTAATCCCTTGTGCCCAATGGACTCTAATTAATAAGGTTTAATGCTTGTCCACCATTCCATCATGGGTCACTCATGAATGATCAGTTTATCAAAATGATGCTGAAAAGCATTCAAAGCGGGGACTTGTTTATATTAGATAGCTTGATGAGAAGGACTAAATATCCTGCTGTCCAGGTTTTACTTTCTCATGTTCTTGGATTTCTAAATGAATATGTGTTTGATTAGCAAACCTTCTTTTCATTAATTATATTGTAAATGAAGCTTTTTATTTTTACCAAGTACAGGTGTGATCTGAGGTTATTAGGATGCACTGTGAGGTTGTCGTGTCCTCCACGTGGTACTGAATAGTGTCCACCTCAGCTTGGATTGATATTGAAGTAAATCGAAGTTCCTTCCTCGGTCAGATGGTTAGAGGTTGTTCATCATAAATGTGTTTTGCACAACCACCATGGAATACTGGAGGGGATCAAGAGTGTAACTGAAATGAAAACATCGGTCACTGGGTGTCGGGAAGCAAAAGATTGCAGATCCTACAAGCAAAATCATTCATGTGATGTCTACCCACTAGACCTGACTAGCCTAGAAATCCTTCTTTTCTCTCGTAGTCAAAAGTGTGAAGTGCAACGATACTGCATACTGTCCCCATGACACTACCTGCTGCAAAACTGCAAAGGGAGAATGGGCATGCTGTCCATTCCCCAAGGTAAGCACTTTTAATGGTACGGAGTAAAGTAACTGTTCAATATCCATTTACATGGGATAGGGTTTGGGGTCTCAATTGGCTAATAGACAAGTGATGTGAAAGTGACCGTTTAAGGCCTTTGAGGAATAGTTGTGGCTGTAGGGTCGAAAGTTCTTATTTTAAAGCTTTTTGCCCTCGGGACACAAGCTGTTGATATTTTATCGATATCTGTAGAAAAAGGCTAGCATGTAGCATTCGGTTAAATGATGGGGGACCCTTCTTGACAGGCAACCAAGAGCTTCTGCATGCATTAATGATGTGTTATTCCAAATAGTGTAAAGTTAGACTGGTCGATTTACAAGTGGAGCTCTCAAACATTAACATTTTGACTGTTTCCAGGAACCAGATGCGTTAATTTAGTTATCCTCTTCTCCAAGATGAATCTGAGTGTTTTGCTTAAGGATAGTTCTGAAAAACAAACTGTTGTCCCCATATGTTTGGAGTTTTCCAGACTTCTGTAGAGGCTTTGATCCATCTGTGGTTTTACACTGTGGCCAAAACCTATATTTTTCTGCTGTAGTAACCAAAATGCTATTCATCTAACGGCACAACTGAGATTGTTGCATATAATTAAGAAGCTCAGATTTGATGCTTCCATTTTCTAGATTTTATTAACTCCAGTCATTGAGAAACCAGGTTCTACAAGTTTTTGTTTTAAAAAAAAAAAATTCTGAACTAAAATTTAGTTCCTGCTGTTGAGATGGGAATTTTTCCTGACCTGTGTTCTAAGGTATTCAGTCCCTGGATCAGGATCTATGCAGAGTGAAGGGAATCTCTGGAATAAATCCAGAGAATTGCAGTGGAGTCATCTCTGGGGTGATTGAGGGTGTTCCTCTGTGTGACCTTCCTCCCCCAGGCTGTATGCTGTGAAGACCACGCTCATTGCTGTCCACAGGGCACCACCTGTGACCTTACCGCTGGCTACTGCAAGTCCTCCACCCTGTCCGTTCCCTGGTTGGAGAAGGAGCCCGCCAAGACGGGGGAGCCCATCGGACCTGGGGGTGAGAAGGGTGTGAAGTGTGACCCCGAGACCAGCTGCGCGGCTGGAACGACCTGCTGCCAGCTGCCCACCGGCAAATGGGGCTGCTGTCCCCTGGTCAAGGTAAGGCAGGGCCAGAGAGTCCTCCATCGTTACAGCAGGTTTGAGTTGGCCAAACTCAAGATGTCCGACCCTCCCCGTCCACCAACAGGACCTCGAGGTGCTCCCTCAAGGTGGCTGACAAAGTCTCGGCTGATCGCATCTGTCCTTAAATCTTTTAAGATGGTTTGCCAGCTGGAAATGATCTGAAGTTTAGTGTAAAAGTTTTGATCACGTTGTTTTCTGGCCAAGAATGTGCAGGCTACCCGCTAGTGATATCCAGTAATGATATGGGGGGCTTCAGAATAGTGTTAACCATGTTACAGGTTCTGGACCACCACAAGAGGAGTTTAAATTGCCCGTCCCCTATAAATAATTAAGTCAATTTTGAAGGATAATTGACCACTTTGATACCAATGCAATTTAAAGTTTGTTTTTAATATTGCTTTAACGTGTTTGATTTTTGTGTTCACCTGTGGGTGGGCGTTTTGAGGGTCATGTTCGACTCATCCACTGACGACGTGCTGCGCTTTCTTTGGCTTCAGGGGGTGTGCTGCTCGGATCACGAGCACTGCTGCCCACAGGGCTACTCCTGCAACATCAAGGCCGGCACCTGCGAGAAGCGCCACGAGGGCGTCCCCTGGGTGTCCCGGAGCTTCCCCGCGGTCCTCGTGTCCCCCTCGGAGCAGCGCCCCAGGAGGGACGTGCAGTGCGATGAGGAGCATCGCTGCCCCGACTCGCAGACCTGCTGCAGGACCTCCTCCAGTTCCTGGGGCTGCTGCCCTTTCCCCAAGGTACCCTGACACTTCCAGTGCAGAGCGCATCTCGGGAGTTGCAGTATCCAAACATTTTCCGTGTCTCGCACTCCAGTGCAAATGCAAGGAGGAGAGGGGCAGGAAACTATAAATGTAAAGAAAATGACTTGCAGTTGTTTTCTGAAATACCCTTGTGTAAGAAAGTCACGCTGAGAACAATGTAGATATATATTCGTGCAAGGTGTTCATGTTCTTGTGCACATGTGCTTTCACTTTAGCACTTCAAAAACTTTAAAGTGCAGTTTTAGGCCTTAGTCTAAAAGGAGTGTCAATATGACATCTCACCATCGCAGTGGTACACCTTACTGGAATGTGGGTGCTTGTTGCTTACCAGCCAAACAGCTCTCCAGTTTACATGGTGCACCATGGAGCTAAATTTATGTGTGCATGGGGAAACCATGTGTCCCAGGGCTTGAGTCAAACCATCACCTCAGACTGGAGCAGTTCTTGTGCATTCTCTTCTAGCAGGCACTATTTGCAGTGCCCTCTGCTGCTTACCATTACTGTCCAAAGATGGGACCTTTTTCCTTAATTCCCCACGAATCAAACATAATTGCTCAGCAGTATTGCTTTCACTTATATAGCGCTTTTCTGGACACTCCACTCAAAGCGCTTTACAGGTTATGGGGATCCCCTCCACCAGCACCAGTGTGCAGCCCCACCTGGATGATGCGCCAGTACTCTCCCCAAACACCAGCTCTCAGTGGGGAGGAGAGCAGAGTGATGAAGCCAATTCATAGATGGGGATTATTAGGAGGCCATGATTGGTATGGGACATTTGGCCAGGACGCCGGGGTTACACCCCTACTCTTTTCGAGAAACACCCTGGGATTTTAATTGACCACAGAGAGTCAAGACCTCGGTTAAAATGCTGTACGCGTGGGGACGTCATGTCATCTTAATTTTTAATTCCCCGCACTCGGCCGATGAGTGAGGCTGCAGCAGTATGGTGGCACTGGGTGCGCTTGTGCTGTTCAGCTCTTCTGGGCTCCAGCTGACCGAGCGGTGGTGTCTCTACAGGCCGTGTGCTGCGACGATCAGAAACACTGCTGCCCCTCTGGATACTCCTGCGATGGCGCTGGAGGGTCGTGTGTCCGGGATGGGCGTCTGACCTGGGATATGTTCTTCACGGAGAGGGAGAGAGCCTTAAACCACAACACTTTGTAAATCTCTTCTCGGCCTGCAGCACATATCCACACCCTCCATAATCGGCAACGTGTTAAGGAGGGAAGGGGAATGTACAATGAGACATAACTGACCTGTTATTTGTGACAAATACTGTTTATTTGGTAGGGGGTCTGCGATGAAGTGGAAACAGATTTAAAATGGGGGACATCAGCTGGAACCTGCTGAATGATTTTTTTTTTTGGAATGTTTGTGCTTTGCAAGACTTGCTTTATTGTGCTCCACTAAAGGAGCTTCAAGCCTGTACCTTTTTGTGTTTAACGATGTGCTGTGACCTGAAAAGTGACGTTAGATTTCTGCAAAACTGACCACTTCATTAGAACAAGGGCCCTTGCCTGTGTGCTCTGCACTAACTGACATTTCAAAGCAACTAGATTCACCCCCACATCTTTGGAATAAAAGGATTCAGATTTCAAGAGAATTGATTTTAAGTGAAATTTAGTTTTAAAGAACGCGTTGTTAAACCCAGTTTTTCTATGCAGTGAGATAATAGCATAATGGAGGAGGATGATGTCGAACTCTTCTCGGGGCTTTACAAACCATTGGCAAGCGGAGTTTCTGCTGCTTGGCCAGGTGCCTGCAGGCTCGCGAAGACATCATGCTGCTTTTCCAATTGGCACTGCCTCTTGTTGGCTACTGTGGTGCCCCCTGCAGACGAGCATGAAATTGACACCCTGAAAAGACAAACCTGTTTTAAGAAACGTATGAAGGGCTAGATGGCGGTGATGAAGCAGCTGTTCTAGAAAAAGAAGCACACTTTTGTAGATGCTGACACAAGGTAGCAAAATCTAATTGTCTTCGGCCTTGCAATACTGTCTGGTACAGAAGAGGATTTTTACACTTATTTGACCCAAAGTGAATTGTAAACTGAGGAAAAACCAGGGAGAACTGTTCTCTAGGAATGTTTTACTGAAGCACTAACCACATTTCTCTCTGGAACTAGAAAATGTGAACTACAAAAAGCATTTGTTTTGTCCTTTTGTGCGGGTTTGGTTTTAATTGTACTCTATCCTTGCAAACAAGCCAGAGAATCACAACATCACAGTTCAATTATACAGTCCACTTATAAATCCCTTGATACTTGCAGTCTGCCTGTAAGCATAAAATCCGTACGATTTTGTAAATTTGCACTTTTTTTTTAGTTGAGTAGTGTGAAATTGAATTTATTAATGTTTTATCTTTGACTTCAAAAGGGGGCATTAAGGCTTCTTTTTTTGTGGCCTTCTGAACAAGAACTGATTTAGACCCCATTTATTATTGCTGTAAATCCCAATAAAACCTAAATGCAAAGAACCAGCTTTGTGCCAATGTGCTTTAGTTTTGCTTACGGTTTTAAAATATTGATCAAACATCCGTTACCATTAATACAACAAGTGTAACTTCATAATAAAATTGGTGCTCTTTTTTTATTTAGTGCACTTTTACAAAAAGGTATGGAATTTTCATTACAGTAGATAATTTGTATGACAAGAACATCTTGTTCATACCCATAAGCATAAGGGAGATGCTGTATTTCAAAGTGCATTTGGGATGTGTTTAAAAGATTGTGCTACATAAGAATTTACTTGCACCATCTTAATGGGACCTTGCTAGAACTACCACTGTTGCTCCTCATATGTCCAAACGTGGTTTTGTACATGCCGATTTCAGAACTGAATAGAAGGGTTCTGTCTTTGTAGACTTAAAACACCTGTGCTTTTTGTATGGGGAGATATGAAAGGAAAATCACTTCACGGTAACTAAAGAAAAGGCCAAACAGATTAAATAAGAAAAAGAAAACTCTTTCTTTGCAATTCTTTAACTTCAGCATCTTGTCCTGTGAACCACATATCTAACCAAGCATCATGTAGCTTTTCCATTAATCTTCATAACTAATACACACCACTGGATTCTCCCTTCAGACTATTTGCACTGGAGGCTTTGCCCTGCTATCTTGATTGAAAAGGGATTTTACTCTATTAAAGACAATTGTGTGTGTGTATATACAAATTAAAATAAATCATTTCTATAAGTCGTCTTGTTCGTTCTTTTGCTTTAATGACGATATTTGTAATTTTGCTTCAGATTTAAGGCCAAGAAAAAAAGACAGCACCTTCTATAGAAAAGCATGTGTAGTAAACAAAATGATGTATTGAAGATGAAAGGTATTCCTTAAGACATAGGTTTTGTTACACAAACAACACATTCACAACATTTTGGATAGGCAATACATGATCACACGTGTAAGTTTATAAGTATATTTAAGTCAAATATTTCCAGCTGATGCTTGAAGGAATTGAGAGTATTGATGGAGTATCTTAGCCTAAATAGATGATGGTACCTAATTTTTTGGACAAATGTAGAGCTATGAGTAGGTAATTCTGGGATCTGGACTTGTAAAGCATGTTTACCAAAATGTCATTTTCAGTACACGACTTGGGTTTCTGGTGTTTTTACTCCTACTGCAAGTGTGCTATTTTTGTCACTTTAAAGACTTGGGAGTAACAACATCCATTTGTGGGTACAAAGGACACCCCTGGGACAGCAGTATTCAGTACCTATGTTTAAAAACAGACGTGTTTTCAATATAACATAATAGTTAACTTCAGGAACACAATCCCATTTATCATTTTTCCACGAATTTATATTCACTTAAGACTTAAAATTTTTTTCTGAGCCAAGAAGTAACCACCTGCCTGAACATACACCCCTATTCGTCTTACCTCTACCAAGATGGCCGCCTAATGTACTACGTCAAGGTCGCTCTAGCCTAAATATTCCTCTCGATGTTCCTTTCCGAGATTCCGAACAAACAAGACCTAATCACGTGAGTCCCCTCCCCTCGCCACAGTAGACCGGAAGTGCGGGTGGGGGGGGGGGAAGCTGTGGCCAGTGTGTGGCGCGAGTTCCTGCCAGTCTCTTCTGTGTACATATGAATTTTGGAAGTCGCGGCGCGTTTTCCATTAATACCTGCAACATTTATCGACCTTGAGATTCACTGCTGCCCTCGCAAAATCAACGCCGCACTACCGCCAAACGAAGTATGCCCCGCAGGAAGGTAAGAATGTATCTGTCTTTGAAGACGCCTGAATTGTTTTATTTTTAATGGTCATGGGCAAAAAGCCTTTTGCACAGCCCTCAGGACTGTCAGGGCTGTGTTAAAGATGGTTGCCTTGTTTTGGGGAATTTACGTGCAAATTGTATCCCGTTTCGTCTTCGCCGACGCTTACATTTAGGCATTTCCACCCAAAAAACAACTTGGGGATTCAAAATATTTTGAAGAAAATCGTAAAACACGCCTCCCGTCGGCTTCCATCTTGGCTTGCTCGGCTGGTCGCAGTTGGCGCCCCCGCGGCTGAGGAAACTACTAGAAGCCGAGGCTGCAGTCGGGGCCTGAGGATAAGAACGGAACCTCCGCCAGCTGTGTTAGGATTGGTGGATCTGCGGGCTGGGGGGCTTGTTCATTGGTGCTGGAGGCTGCCTGTCAAGGATTACTCCCGCCTTCGATCTCTCCTGATTGGTCGGTGTGTTTTGGAGCGCTGTAACTGGCTCCTTTTGCTAGGAAGAGCCTTTGTTATGGAGTAAGCGGGGTTCCGTTATTGTAGTAGGTGGTGGTTTGTTTTTTGCGGAAAGGATGCACAAGT